TAACATAACACAACTCTCCTGATACAATCTGCAATACAGCAATCTCTTCTTGATATATTTTTTAAGAGACCAAGTAACTTTTTCTGAAACTCAAGGCAAACAGTTAAACCCCTGGTACCAAAATAAATAAATAAATAAATAAATAAATAACCAAGGGAAAATAATAAAAAACAAAACAAACAAAAAAACCCCCTACACTTTCCTCTGGATTGGGGTGGCTGGAGAATTGAGTTCCATACATCAAATAGCACAGGATGGCTTATGAATATTTATAGTATTTATAGTTCCATACATCAAATAACACAGTATGGCATATGAATATCAGTAGTTTTAACTATTCAGATATTTGACAGAAAATAATTTGTACTTTTGTTGATATATGAGAATAAATCTAATGAGTTTGTATAGTTTCTGTTAGAGTAATAAATAATAAATAAACCTAGCTTGTCATCTAGCACTTTAATTTTAATTTAGTGTAGCTGTTCTTACTCATTTGCATACATATGTAATGAGGATAAATTATGTAAATTACGTGTAAAAGCGATACTTTTTTTTTTGTATCGAGGATCAAACTTGGGACCTTCAGCTTGCGAGGCAGGCAGCAGCACCACTGAGCTAAATCCCCAGCCCAAAAGTGATACTCTTAAATTTGGGGATCTATGATGACTTCAGAAAATATCCTTAGTAAATATATAGAGTAAGTAATTTTCTTTTATCCTTATAAATAATAAACATTATACTAAGGATGATATATAAGAATAAAAATAATCCTATTTTTAAAAATAAAGCAAAAATTGTCAGAAGCAAAATGTTTATAGAGTCCCATTATACTTAATTATATTTCATTTTAAAAACCTCTAAATAAAATCAAAGCTCTCATAAAAATTCTGGTAATAATTGTAAAGGTTACAAAGCATTTTTAAAATGCTGTGGAATTGTTTTTGACAAACTGTGACAAAATTAGTTATGTACAAAATAAATACCTGCCTGATAACATGAGTCCATATTCATATAACTAAAATGTATCAGTTGACAACAGAAGACAGGTTAAAAAGAACTTATGGTCAAATGTTTTTGTTTTAGTCCTTCATGATATAAACATCATGGGGACACACACATATACTAGACTGTAATACCCTTTACCCTTGCCCAAAGTCATCCACCAAATAAATTATAACAAAAGCAGGTCAGAAGTAGCAAAAGTGTAATCACTGTACATTCCTGATTGGGAGAAAAAACACTCAAAAATGTTTATCTGCCCTCCACTGTTCGTAAGATAAACTCTGAATTCCCTGGATGGGTTGTCTCTACACTCTTCACAATCTCTCACTCCTCTGCAGGTGTCCTGCACAGGCCAAATTATACCACACAGTACAACCTAATCAGTGCTTTCATCCACTGTGCTTCATTATCCTTTCATCTTTATTATCTTCTGATAACCTGCCTTATTTTGCTTAAAATCCTACTTAACTTGTAAGGCTCAATTTAGGCAAAATTTAGCTACTTTCTGAGACCCACCTAGTAGCTCTCTCTTTTATGAGACTACAAAGCATTTTCTCTACATCTTTTTGCAATGATTATATTTATTCACACTCACCTCTTCTACTATGTTTCATGCTCTTTAGGCAAGGAGCAAGTCTTATCTCTGCAATCTCTCATAGTAACACCAGGTGCTAAATAAATGTTGATATTTGAATAATTCTTAAGATTCAGATTCTTAATTATATTCGTTTTACATTACAAAACAAATCATATTTCAGGAAGAAATTATTTTTACCAGAATACCAGCAGGCAAAGGAGCAGAATCATCTGTTGGGTACATCCTGGAAACTGGGCACTTGAGAATATCTAGTCCGTTTGGGACGATTTTACAGTAATCCTGAATACACTGCAGCCACCACCACACAGCATCCCGGCAATTGTACCTGGCATAAATCCCTTCACCGAGGAGATTGGGAATGAGACCATGCCTCAGAGTGCCAGCAAATGCTAAAATAATATTCCTAAAACAACATAATTAAGTAGATCATTTGAAATGAAACTAAAGAGTTGAAGATAAAAAATGGTTACTTTTGATGACTTTATTTTGGAGGCATTTTAAACCTGCCCTTACTTCTTTATTCATATATTTGTAGATAGTGGTCATAATATAATAGAATAAGAATCCCTAAGACCACATAAATATACCCAGCTCCAGGCCTCTCTGAAGAGCTCCCAGTTTCTTTAAATTCTGCCTAATAAATTTCTTTATGCCTCACATTGACATGTCTTGAAAACTCGTTTTCTGTGAATGAAGTCAGAAGCCTACAACCTACCCCACCAGTGGGGTGAATGCAGGTTCCCCATCTTCACTCTGGAAACCCTCTTGGGAACTACTCCATGACACAGAAGTGGGAAGTGAAAGCCCAGACAACAATCATAATGATCATAAAGCCTAACATTTATAGAATGTTCAGCATCTGGCAGATATTCTAGATATTTAAACAGCATTAGCTCATTAATGCTCACCAAGCTCAATAAGCGAATACTACAACCATTTTACAGAAAGCATGAAAAGAGGAAGTGATTTGTCATTTGATAATCTGGCAACAGAATTAGAAGCTCTCATTATGGCCCAAAGGCCTAATTCTTAACTACTATACTGTGCTGAATGATGATGATCCATTTCCTACTTCTGAGTCAGTCATTTTAGGGACACTTGGGGGAAGAATCAAACATCTTCCTAAATTTTGATAGCCCCATAATTACAACTTAAGACAATTAAAAAAAAGGGCTTATATATTAGGTCAACAGGAAAGAATGTAATTCCTTTTAAATGCCCACTCAGACACCTCAATTTTATTGTTTTTGTTGTTGTTATCTTGAACTCCTGGCAATCCTCCTGGCTGGGATTACAGGTATGCTCTATCACACCCAGCTGACATGGCAATTTTAAAATGACCCCCACCAAAATAAAAATAAAAACAAAAAACTTTTGGCATTTGAAAGGGAAAATTTCAGTTATTCTTCTGATGGCATCAAAATAAGGTGTCATACACAGTAAATGCTTTTTTGCTAAAATTTTCAACCCGCAGAGCAGTGCTTTTGAACTTTAGGCTCAGGTTGCTGATAACTACCTGGAAAACTTGTGAAGACAAGTTTTTGCCTATCAACCCCGCTCTCCCTACCTCAAAGTTTGGATTCAGGGGGTATGCATAGGGACCAAGGATTTGTATTTCTAACAAGTTTTCAGATGATGGTAACAGTACCGCTTTGTGGAATACACAGTGAGAGGCACTGCTGTAGAACTTTGCAATCTCTCATAAATTTGTTTATGTTACTGAGATACAAGAAAACATCACTTTTAGTCTAGAAAACACAAAACTGGAGATTGTAAGGCCTGAAAACAAATAAAAGAAAACCTGAATTATCTTTCTGTACAGGGACAGCAATGCCTTTATTATAAAAGGCATAAAATGGTCACATAATTTTTCTTTATTGAAATAAATTTGTAAATGGTAAAGTTAACCTGATCTTAATATGAAAGACCAGAATTTAGCAACTTCAAAGATTTTCCTCCTTTAAATTCACCTTCTATGATCCTATTAAATGAATATATGAAAAATAAAACAAAAAACACCTAAGGAAAACATACCACTCAAATGTTGTTGATAATAGGTGGATAAGAAAGCAAGTTTGAAGGACATGTGAAAAAAACCACTGGGACATAAACTTGCAGTGCAACTTTTTAGATCTCTTACCTGGCCTCTAAATAGCGTCCAGTAACCAGCAAAAGACCTCTAAGTGCAATAAAAGTATCCCTTCCCCAACAGCGGAAAAGACCAGCAGAAAAATGAGGTAAGCCTAACAGAAAAGACAACAAAATAATATGTTAATCATAACACATGGAAACCTATGAATGCTATTAGTACAAAACGGTCACTCTAAAGCTGGGGTAAAAGGACGGATTACCAGGAGGTGGTAAACCCTTTTAAATTATCTGCAACATGTACTTGTACCCTTAGATGAACTTTTATGGAATAAGGTTCTATAGTCATATCAGATTCTTAAAGGAATATGTGATCTCAAGGAGATTAAGTACCAGCTGCTGAGGTTTTTTTTCTTCCTTTATTTGTGGTTCTAGGGATCAAACCCAGAGTATTACACATGGTAGGCCACGGGGCTATATACCCTTAGTCTTGAGAACCTCTGCTAGAAGGGGATACTTAACTGAATTGACTTGAATGTGCCTTTGTTTGTTTTTTGTTGTTTTTTTTTGGTACTGGGGATCAAACTTGGGACCTTGAGCTTGCGTGGTAGGCGGCAGAACCACTGAGCTAAATCCCCAGCCCCTTGTTTGTTTGTTTTGAGACAGGGTCATGCTACGTAATTCAAGCTGGCCTTGAACTCACTATGTACCCCAGGCTGGCCTTGAACTTGGGGTGATCTTCCTGCCTCAGCCTTGCAGGGCTGGGATTACAAGTGTGCTCCACTATGCCCAAATTTTAATGTGTCATTAAACACAGATAAACTTACTTTTAATAAATTAAAAGGATAAAACCAGAAATCAAATATTTAACACATAAAGTAACACAATATAACATTAATTATATATGTAGAAAGATTCTACCTTAAGGACAGTAAATAAATCTGAATATGAACTAATTACCCAAATGATACCTAAATATGTTTATTAATCTATATTCTACACTCAAAATGTATTACTAAATTTTCCATTAATTTAAAACAACTTATAGTGTCAAACTTCGTACATAATATATACAATTTTTATCAAAAATTAATTTTAAAAAGTGTTACATTTTCATAGAAACAGCTTTTGCAGATGAAAACAAGGACTATACATGCTAAATAATGTGAACTGTGAGACTGAACAACAGTTACTCCATTTTGTACTAGGGCCCCAACTTGTCTGCTTCTGTTACGGATCACCAGGTAGACATCGAGTTCCAGGGATGTGCTTGTTGTTGTGCCAGGAAGGTCTGTTGTGTGCGTAGTGTTCGGTCATGCTTGCCCAACTCCATATCTGAATAATGTTATCTTAAGGACAATCTGTAAAAGGTCTGTTTTATCTCTCCTCTCCGCTTTTGTATTTCTCCTTGCCAACTTCCCCTGCGACCCCCTATAAAAACAGCCTCGGACTCTGAGCCAGTTGCCTCTCTAAGCTACTTTGCTTTGGGAATGCCGTCTGGCCAGACTAATAAAGATCTGTTTCACTTTCCAACTTGTCCAGTGTGTTCCTTCCCGGGTGTTCTTCGCTGCAGTCAGCTCCTCGGAGCGTTTGGTAAGGCCCTCGGTCTTACATTTTGGAGGCCCCTAGGCCCCGCTGGGATCCCCGGGTGTTCTTCGCTGCAGTCAGCTCCTCGGAGCGTTTGGTAAGGCCCTCGGTCTTACATGAACATTAGCTGCAACATTTATTATGCATGAGGCAAAACAGGACTAATGGAAAAAAATCTAAAATTTTACTTTTAGTTTGAGTTTGGTGCCCCTTCTCTCCCATGCTGGGGATTCAACCTAGGGCTTTGCTCATGCTAGGAAAGTACTATATTCTACTTAACTGCTGCCTGTTTATTGAATGACATTATCTCCCCAGTAGAAAATAAGACCCATGATGACAGAAACTTTATCGGCCTTGTTTGTCATGTACATCTATTCACTGAAAATCATAACTGGTATATTATATATCCTTATAAATATTTGTTGAATGAATAAAAGACTAATGCTAAAATGTAAATTCAGAAGTAAAAGAACGGCTAAAAAATTTTTGGCACTGCTAACTGTACTTCACAACTTAGATTTCTGCTAATTTGGGCCTTCCTTTTCTAGGGAATTAGACATTAGTTTCTTCTATTAAGAAAGATCATAACTAAGGGCAACACTCAACTTTTTTCTATGTTATTTCCAATATATCAGTACAAAATTTCCCCAAACAAACATATATGGTTGATAGTTGGTAACTTTGATGAGGACTATGATAATGACAATACCTAACACATCTGTAATATTCTGTACAGACTTCCTAGCACTTTAGCCAGTTTAACTTCTTATATGTAATATGTGTATAGACAGATTTGAAGGTGAGTTTGAACTGGTATGTCCTAAAATAAACACAGTCTGGGGGCTGGGGATTTAGGTCAGTGACACCATGCCTGCCTTGAAAACTGAAGGTCCTGAGTTCGATCCCTGGTACTAGGGGGAAAAAAAATATATGTACACAGTCTGTCTTTGTTGAAAAGTAAAAGCTATAAAATCTCTAGCACTAGGCCAGGGATTTAGCTCAGTGGTGCTATGCCTGCCCCGCAAGCCCAAGGTCCTGAGTTCAATCCCCAGTACCAAAAAACAAAAAAAAACTCTAGCACTGATATAGAGAAATGTTTATATTAACTTTTTTTTAAAATTAATTTTATTGGTACGTTTTAGGTATACAATATAATGACATTCATCATTGGAAATTTGCACCTTTACATAATCTCTCTTGGTTCTTATTTTTCCCCCATTCCCCTGCCCTCCTTTCAACCCCTCCATCCCTCCCTATTTACAAAGACTTTGTTTCCATTTTTTCATTTTCTCATATTAATTCCATTCCCTTCTTTCCTTTCCCCCACCCTCCCACTTCTCCTTCCTTCCCCTTTGCTCCTTTCCTTCCTATTTCACATTATATTAACTTTTTTGACCTCTCAAACTATACATCCTGTAGATCACATATATTTAGAGTGATTTCTTTTTGTTTTTGTTTCTTTTTTGAGTCAGGATCTCACTACGTAGTTAAAGCTGGCCTTGAACTCACTATGTTGCCCAGGCTGGCTTCAAACTCACAGTGATCCTCCTGTCTCAGTTTCCCAAGTGCTGAGATTACAAATATGTGCTGCCATGCCCAGCATCTGGAGTGATTTTTACTTTGTCAATTATTACAAAGGTTCAAAATTAAGAAAAATTTCCAATATCATCATCAAAAAGAAAAAAACCCCCACAAAAAACGAATCCCTTCTATCTTAAAATAAATCCCTAAAACACTTATCTGTAAATCTCAGTATAGTCCTATTTTTTGCCAGTGTTAGGCAAAACACTCTCTTGGGATACTAGAACCAAATACCAAAACATCTATTTATATTTACTTATTGTACCTGATATACACATGTAGCAAATACTATAACTTATGTTAGTATATGATTTATAAATAAATGCATATATTCTGGGGGTGTTTAACAGCAGTGTATAACCAAAAAGATTAAGATAACTTTTATGTAATAGGCTTCTAAAAAGTAGACTCTAAAACCCAAATTTGTCATATCTATGTTTTTTCCCATAACGGATCAGTTCAATTTCATGACCACTGCATAGATTCACAGGGGAATAATTGGAACTACAAGGAAATCATTCAAATGAAAATGTGAAACACAATTATAAAATTAAAAGAGTTTTGATTTTATTCCTTTTTTCTTAGTTTTAAATTTTTTTGCAGAGTTGAGGATTAAACCTAGGACCTCAAGCATACACTGTAAGTATTCTACCAGTGAGTTAAATTCCCAGACCTAAAACCAAGTTTTATGTATTTTTATGACCATTCTAAGTGAAAAGGTAATTTTTATTTTAGTTGTTGAGTACTATGAAATTGTTCACCTGATCTAAGCACATGTAAATTTAAGGAAATTTAAATTTAACAGAGGGAGCCACACAGACAATATTATTTTTCCTATAATTTTTATATACTAGTTTAGAGCATTTTCAACTTCAGTGGCCTCAAATACTAAGTGCTTTTTAGAAATGTAGTGGAAATTTATATTAAAAAAAGAAAAATTAAAAAGAAGAAAAAGTCTGTTCTTTAGCCTATTTTGCTTACTTGATTAATGTTTTAAATCTACTTGCAGGAAAGGATGCCAATAAATTTGGCTGAAAAGATCTGACAGCAATTAGATATATAATAGAAAATTATTTAAATGATCTTGTAGTAATTGCAAAGTGTTTTTTTTTTTTTTAAAAAAAACTGGGTAAGAAATATAGGGAAAAGTAGTAAACTACATCTGGTTTCAAAAAATATGAAATGTCAGCAGTTGGAAAAAACATATCTACAGAAGAAAAGAATAACCAATCAAAATAGAAAACACACATAAATGCCTGGTACACAGCTATAATTAAATAGTAAGTATGGTTATTATTTTTATAAGTATCTATGAAATTTACTAAGCAATGATATAAAATGTTGATAACATCATGAATTAAAAAATCAGTTTCCCATAAGTATTCCTTTATGAATATTATTGATTCACACATTATAACCTTCTACAAAATCCCTCACCTGCAGCCAGAGAAGCACAGCACTGTTCCTTTTCTTTTGTGATCTCGTTTAGCCTATATGGTACATCCAGAAGTGAAGGTGAAAGACGTGGTAGACAAGGGAATTTTCCTACTCCACACATTTGGACTGAACCCAATGAAAGGTGTTTCACAAATGTTGAACCATTTTGAACAAAGCTATAACAAAAGTGATAGAATTAAAAACATTATTGTAGAGGGCTAGGGATTTAGCTCAGTGGTGCCGTCGCCTGCCTCACAAGTACAAGGTCCCGAGTTTGATGCCCAGTACCAAAAAAAAATTATTGTAGAGATACAAAATTTTTTAGCAGTTTTAATTTTGAGTTTTCCCCTTCAAATGATTTTTCTACACAAAAGTGTAAAAAAGGCAACATAGTTTAAAAATAAACGTCGAATTTGACTAGATTTCAAAACTGCTTTCATGTCAACCATTATTTCAGTTAGCTTTAAGCCTAAGGCTTGTTATAAAACAAAAGGTAGGGTTGAAGTTTTATTTTTTCTGAAATGATGCCCAAATCAATTTAGTGGTTCTCACAGGTACATTTCAATCTGTGGTTTCATTTTAGGAAATTTCATCATAAAAGGAAAATTTGATTAATTAAAATAGTAAAATAAAATTTCTTTTTAAATGATGAAAATAAAAATCTCATGGGAGACTGAGGCAGAAGGATTGCTGCAAGTTCGAGGCCAGCATGGGCTACAGAGTGAGTTCAAGGCCAGAATGAACTACATATCAAGACTCTGTCTCAAAAAAAACAAAAACAAAACCAAAAAACCCCCAAAAAGGAAAGAAAAAAATTACGTATGTATATTATAAAATTTGTACCAATTAACGTTAACAAGTCAGTGACTAAATAGGAACAGTGATACAAAACAACTGATTCTTCCCAGAACATGTTTTATTAGTTTTATAGAACTTATTTTTCCCCTCACTTTTTGAGACAGTCTTGTCATATAGGCCAGAGTACTTCAATTGTATTATGTAGCCCAAGCTGGTTTCAAACTTGCTGTGTAGCCGAGAACGAGAGATCTTCCTGCTTCAGCCCCCCAGGATTACAGGTATGTACTATATGCCCAGCTTTGCAGCAGATTTTTAATATGTAAGTTTGTTCTTGTGTGTTTCAAACTAGAGTATACTAATAAATCTACTTAAAAACTTTTTCAGTGTATGCCTATAACAATTCCTCATATTCTGGTCTTTTAAGAGTATATATAAAATAACTCTGTATTAATTTTCTATATAAACATGCCTATTTACTCAAGCTTTTTTGGATATACCTTGACATGTGCTTCCATGCTATATCCAGAAGAGTGGTGTACACACCAATTAATATAGCATCAAAATAACATGGGATAAGATAACGTGGAATCTGCTTCAGGTAGAAGAACATAGCCTGCAACCATATGCCAACCTGTTACAAAAATAATTTAAAAAGTTAATTTGGTGTGTTTACAGTCTAGGGATATTTTAAGGTATAATTTAAGAGGTAAGTCTAAACATATAACTTTACTATCTGGTAATTTATTAACAAAATTTCTACTTATTAGAACCGAAAGATGATGTAGGGAAGAAAATGGTTCAAAAACACACAAATATTACACATAACATGGTAATATAATTCTTTCTGTGGCCTTGATTACTTATTTGGGTTAGAATATAGCTTTACTTACTTCAGCAATAGTTCCTGATCGTGAAATAAGCCGGCCACTGACATAGTCAATCATCCAATCTCCAGATCTCAAATTATCACAAAAAGGATGTCCCAAGTCATTCTTTGGTCTTATTTCTGCCAATATGGACATTAATCCTGAAAATTCAATGACATAGCATGCTACATTATTGGCAGAATCGATGTTCCTATGACCAATGCTGTGACAGAGTCAGGCACAAAGGTCTCCTAGTCCACAATGACAGCTGTCAGTGTTGGATATAAGTGTGGAAGTACTGGCTTGAGCCAGGACACAAAGACATCCTGGTAAGACTCTGCCAAAGGGTCAGAACTTCTGGAACTGGTTTTATTTTTACTTATTTGCATTTTTTTAGACCTTTTCTTCTTGTTTCACATTATCTATTATATATTTTGATTCTTACACTTTGAGTTTCTCACACCAGAAAAACTATTCAGTATTTACACATGTGTGTCCTATTTATTTCACTTAAAGAGTATGGCCTCAATGTGCATCCATTTAGCTATAAATGACTCTAGTGTCTCATTCTTTATGGCTAAGTAGTACTCTATTTTATTAAAAAAACCACACCTTCTTTATCCAGTCTCCAGTTGATGGGCAAGTGGGCCGTTTCCAAGCTTTAGCTATTACGAACTGTGCCCCTATACTTATTTGCATTTTAATGTTATAATATATTCAAAGGCAGCTGGTGCAGCTTTTTTGCCTTAAGGTATCAAGAAGAAAAAATACTTATTCGCCTGTATCTTTTCATGTTAAAAAGTGGTAGATTCATTAATATTCAAGCAAGCCTTAAGCAAATCACACAAATAGTTTCAGAGAAAGCAAGAATTTGTATGGTGATGCCCAACTTTATAAAACAAAAACTACTGGACATAAATGGTCAGACACTAATACAATCATAGCAAGAGACCTCAACACCCTACTGTCACAATTAGTTCAATCAGACAAAAAAATTAACAAAGAAATATCAGAGTTAAACCATAGCACTGAACAAATGGATTTAACAGATATCTGAAGAACATTTCATTAAACAACAACAGAATACACATTTTTCTCAGTAGCATAAGGAACTTATTCCAAAAAAACCCATATATTAGGCCATGAAGCATGCCTAAAGAAATACAAAAGAATTTAAATAATCCCCTGCATAATATTAAGTCACAGTAGAATGAAGCTAGAAATCAACAGCAAAGAAACCATAGAATTTATACACCCAAACATGGAGAATAAACAATACATTACCGCATAATCAAAATCACATAAGAAATCAGGGAGGAAATAAAAAAGTTTCTAGAATCAAATGACAATGGAAGCACAACATGTCAAAATGTATAGGACACAATGAATGCAGTATTAAGAGGGAAGTTTATAGCTGTGAATATATATATTAAAGGAAGTGAGCAATCCCAAATAACCTAATGATGCTTCTCAAGTTCCTAAAAAATAAGAAAATTCAAACTTTACATTAATAGAAGGAAATACATTATAAAGACCCAAGTAGAAATTAATGAAATTGAGACTAAAAAAAAAATACAAAAATCAATGAGTAACAGTTGGTTTGTTTAAAGGATAAACAAGATTGATAAACCCTAGGCCTAACTTACCAAAAAAAAAAAAAAAGGAAAGAAAAAACTTCAATCAATGGAATTAGAAATACAAAAGGCAGAATAAAGACTGATACCACCAAAATCCAGAGGATTATAAGGAACTACTGGAGAAACTAATATTAAAGTAAACTGGAAAACCTAGAAGAAATTACTAGACATATATGAATTACCAAAACTAAACCAAGAAGATAGAAATACTCTAATAACCACCCTGCAGCTGGGGGTGGGGGTGGGAGTACCTGCATGCAGGAGAGGGCGGGTGGGAAGGACTGCCAGGAGAGATCCCTAGGCAAGGCTCTCAGACCTGCCCCTTCCCTGGCCCTTGTGCTCACCAGGCCACCTGGCCCAGCCATGATCATGGGGATTCTCATCTTCAACAGTCTCGGCAAGCTGCGGCTCTCTAAGTTCTACCAGCCCTACAGTGAAGATACACAACAGCAAATCATCAGGGAGACTTTCCCTTTGGTATGTAAGAGAGATGAAAAGTTTGTAATTTCCTAGAAGGAGGATTATTAATTGGAGGATCTGACAACAAACTGATTTAAAGACATTATGCAACACTATATTTTGTCTTCTGTGTGAATTCTTCAGAAAGAGAACCTGGCTTTTTTTTTTTTGTACCGGAGATCGTCGAACTCAGGACCTTGTACTTGAGAGGCAGGTGTGGTGCCACTGATCTAAATCTCCGGCCCTAAACCTGGCATTTTAGATTTAATTCAACTGGAAACATTAGACAAATGTTTTGAAATTGTCTGTGAGCTGGATTTAATTTTCCATGTAGACAAGATTCAAAATATTCTTGAAGAAATGGTGATGAGTGGGATGGTACTGGAGACCAACATAAATGAAATTGCTACACAAATTGATGCACAAAGTAAACTGGAGAAATCTGAGGCTGGCTTAGCAGGAGCTCCAGCCTGTGCTGTATCAGCTGTAAAGAATATGAATTTTCCTGAAATCCCAAGAAATATTAACACTGGTGACATCAGTATAAAAGTGCCAAACCTGTCCTCTTTTAAATAAAATATTAAAAAGGCCACTCCCAGGTAAAATGCAGGGGGAAAAGTCTAAGTTTACCATACAGTTTTTTTTTAACCAAAAATAGAGGACAGTCTTAACTTTTGCTCTTGGATTTAAGTCAAGATACTGAATAGAAGTTGTGTAAAAATCAGTATGAAAGTTCAATGTTGCTTTTCTTGCTCAGTGATTTAAAGAAATTGTATGGTTCCAGTGTGATTTTTTTTTTCTTTTATAAACTGCATTCCTATGCCCATCTAAGGCATGGCTTTATGTATTGGCTATTACAGTATTTCAAGAGTGAGGTATTTCTTTAATTATGTACAACCCAATGGGCTGGGATTTAGCTCAGTGGTTCCACCGCCTGCCTTGCAAGCACAAGATCCTGAGTTCAATCTCTGGTACCAAAAAAAAAAAATTATGTACAACCCAAAATGTTGGTGTTTCGTATGGATCACAAGTGCAACATTCCTTAATTCTTTCTGCTATTTGTTACAACTGTTAAAGAACCAAGTATGTATTATATGAAAACATTATGACCTTTTCCTTTTAGTTTAAATAAACTCAAAGGTAACTGGATTTCTAAAGTGCACACACATACACACACAAAAAACCCCCACAAAACTCTGAACAGATGAATAACAGACAACAAAATATAGCCAGTAATAAAAACTCTACCGACAAAGAAAAGCCCAGGAAATGATGGATTCACTGTAGAATTCTAGCAGAACTTCATTGAAGATCTAATGCCAATACACCTCAAACTCTTCAAGGGAAGGAACATGTACTACCAAACTCATTTCTGGAAGCTAGCATTACCCTGATACCAAAAGTGGACAGGGACTTAACAAAAAAAGATAACTCTAGGCAATCTCCTTAATGAACTCACATGCAAAATTCCTCAACAAGATACTGGCAAGCAGAATGGAACAAATCATCAAAAAGATCATACATCATGACCAAGTTGGCTTCATCCCAGGGATACAAGGATGGTTCAACACACACAAATCAATAAATGTAATCTATCACATAAACAGAATCAAGGACAAAGACCACATCATCATCATCTCCATAGATGCAGAAAAAGCCTTCTCCAAAATCGAACATTGATTCATGATAAAAACCCTGAAGAACACAGGTATAGAAGGGTATTATCTCAACTTGATCAAAGCCACTTACAACAAATCTACTGAGAATATCATATTAAATGGGGGGAAGCTCAAAGCTTTCCCTCTAAAATCAGGACTGAGACAAGGAAATCCACTATCACCACTCCTATTTAAACAGTCCTCAAATAATTAGCCAGAGAAATCAGGCAAGAGAAAGAAATAAAAGAGATATGTATACGAAAGGAAGAAATCAAATTATCATCATTTGCAGGTGATACAATCCTCTACATAAAAGACCCTTGAATTCATAACCAAATTCAGTGGTGTAGCAGGATACAAAATCAACATGTAGAAATCAAAAGTGTTCTTGTACACCCCAATAATGAACTCGCTGAGCAAGAAATTAGAAAAAACAATATCATTCACAATAGCATTGAGAAGTCAAATACTCAGGAATTAACCCACCAAAGAAGTGAAAAACCTCTACAAAAAAAACTACAGTACTCTGAAAAACAGAGTACATCAGAAGACATTGAAGAGGACATCAGAACATTGAAAGATATCACCTGTTCCTGAATAGGCAAAATCAGTATTTTTAAAAGGGCCATATTTCTGAAACTAATATACAGATTAGTGCAATTCCAATCAAAATACCAACAGCATTCCTCACAGAACTAGAGAAAACAATCCTAAAATTCATATGGATCCACAAGAGACCCACAGTATCAAAAGCAAGCCTGGGAAACAAGAGCAAAGCAAGGAGGCATCACAGTCCCATATTTTAAGAAGTTGTATTACAAAGCTACAGTGATTAAAAAAAAAAACAACACAACAAACCAGGGCCAGGGATTTAGCTCAGTGGTTTCACTGCCTGCTGCGCAAGCACTGGGACTGGAGTTCAATCCCTGGTACCAAAAAACAAAACAAAACAAAACAGCACAGTACTGGCAAACAAACAAACAAAAAATAAACCCAAAAATCAAACCAGAAATGTGGATCAATGCAACAGAACAGAAGATGTAGAAACAACTCCAGGCACACTCAGTTATCTTATCCTTGACAAAGGGGCCAAATACTTTTGGCAGAGAAAAGATGGCCTTTTTAACAAATGGTGCTAAGAAAACTGGCTACTCACAAGCGGAAGACTGAATCTAGACCCATATATCTCACCATGTACTAAATTAAAATCAAAATGGATCAAAGATCTAAATGTCAAAGCAGAAACACGTAATGTGCTAGAAGATAAAATAGGTAAAACTTTTTTATTTTTATTGAGATAAGGTCTTGCTATACAGTTCAGGTTGGCCTTGAACTCACTACGTAGCCCAGGCTGGCCTCAAACTTGTATAAATCCTCCTGCCTCAGCCTCTTGAGTACTGGGATCCA